GGTTTACGGTTTAGGGTTCAGGGCATGAAGACGTGCACTGAAAACCTTGCGGAAAGCAGACGAACCAGTTTCCAAGACCCAGAAGAAGCTTTCTTGAAAAGATGACATGGATCCTCCACCCTCGTGACGACTAAAGAAGACATCCTCTCTCAATTGTGGTCGGATTGCGTGACGAAGCAAGGCATGCTCGGTTCGTCACCAAGGGCCCTCGCTTCCCTTACCATTCCTAGATAACTCTACCCCCGTATACTCCCTTCGCAGTCGTCACCATTTGAGGAGCTTTTGGGGAGAGTCTGGAGAATGCTGGGAGTGTGGCAGGCTGGAGGACGTTCCCGAGTCCGCCAGGTGCGGTATCAAGACAGTGAAGAAAGTGTACCTGAGGTGTGGTGGCACTGGGCTTCGCGTCTTGCAGGAAACAAGATGATGCGATGCTAAACTCGAAAACCTGTTTCAGATCCTTTCCGGTCCATGCCACAACATATATCCGCTTCCGACGTCTGTTGAAAGAGCAATCTAGCAGGCCCTTTGCTGCGAAGAGGGTTCAGCGCCTCAGGTTTGGCGCTTAGAGCTCATGTACAAATCCTTGTAGATCCTCCTGGGCCTTCATTATGAAGAGGAGAAACACCCCTCTTGACTCACGAATAGGCCCACTGTAGTAGCACCAACAGCTGACGGCAACATTGCTGTGCTCGATAGTTGGCAACGACTTTCGATTCGTTTGCGGTTTAAAGTCTAGAATCGAGACATCAACGAAGTCGGGGTCTGAAATGGAGAGGGAATGATCGCAACTCCAGCACGAGATCATATCAACGGCCTAGGGTTCAGGCTAGGGCAACATGGTGCTGCTAAGGCATGCAGTGAGTAGCAGATCGTCATGGCAACTTTACATGACAGCCGTCAGGAAACTTTACATGAGGGCTTGGGGAGGGTCAAACACCCTCGGTTTACCATATTATCATATGTTACCTCATACAAAAGTATTATATGAGATAATACTACTTTAGTATTGCTATGAATTATACACATATATATATATTGTATATTACTATTATCCTTACTACTATCATTATTGATGCTGTTATTGTTGTGGTTATGCTTCTTTGTACATTTTGATAATATTACGTCATGTAGCTTATGTTAACTCGTATAAGTAAAAAACATGTTATTCTATACTATATTATATACTCAGATCTTGGAAGAGCTACCAGAAGCCGCTCCAGAACCCGTTCCGGACTTAGCTCCGGAATCCTCTTGAAAAAGGGACTCGAGCCTTTCAGAGGAAGGAGGAACGCCGCTCCTAATTAGGGGACTAAGTAGGGTTTAGGGGTTCAGGGGTTTGGGGCTCGAAGGGGGACTAATTAAGCAGCCACGTTCAGCACTCTTTTCCTTGCCAGCCACGGCAGTGTCTTGTTGTAGGGCTGCATCGCAGCACGAGGCATAGCCAAAAGACTTCCCGTGGCGACTGGCAGTCCGCACAAACTCCTGAGAGGTTGCGGGAATGCCAAGTCGCCGCTGTACAGATCCAGGCCATCCATTGCAGAAGCAGACACCTTAAGACCACCCACCATTTTCCAGCAGTTGCTCAAAGATGAGGCCGAAGAAGAGCATACCAGGCGGCCCTTGGAATGCCACGAGACATGAAGAATATCACCCTCTGCAGGATAGCGGTAAACTGAGAAGCCAGGGAGTCGACACACTCGCGGGTGCTCGGCTCCAACGATGGCAAATAAGTTATAGCCACCACCTCTTGGAGGTAAATATCCATTACACGCAACGACAACCAGCGGCCACGTCGTCTGACCAGCTCGGAGTTCTCTGTGGCGTTCAAGGCCCAGGTAGCTCCCCCCGGCCTGAAGGAGCTCAGGTCAAAAGCAGGCTTTCCTGCTTCAACCAAGCCTAGCCTCTCCTGAATCTGCTCCAATCGCCGACGCAAGGTAGCACCAGACTGCGGCCAAAGGAGCGCGTGGCCAGGGAGTTTTCCAAACACAGCATCGAGAAGCTCGATCACGTTTGCAGGGTCAACCCTCGCGCTCTGGTGTCGCGCAGCTCTGCCGCGCGTCTTTGGGTTCCTGATCACCAATAACGCGTGTTTCGTGCCAGGTGCAGCGTCTCTAGGGGGGATAAGGTCAATCCTCCTTGCACTGAGTACCTCACCAGGTCGAAGAAGGCCAGCCCAAGCCAAACCAAAAAGCGCGGCTTCGGCCGCCCAACCCCACGCCAAAGCTGCACTGAGGACAGCTAGCAGGATCCCCAGCGGCATCGCCTTATGATGGCAGTGAGGTGCTTCAGTAAGCCAAGCAAACGCCAAATCCCAAGCATATGTAAGGCTGCGCCTGATGCTAGGCTTTAAGGCAGCGACAGCATTTATGGTCTCGGAATACTTGTAGTAGGGTTGGCCTCCGCGAAAAAGAGCTTGTCCGTAACCTACCAAGAGATTCGCAACCTTCTCAGAGACATCCCCTGGAGCGTCAAGTAAGCTCCTCAGGGAGATGCCATGAGTCTCAAGGAGCCACTCGTCAAAGGCAGCAGACAGCCTCTCTCTCTTTGTCCTGGTCACCGGTCTCACCACACGGTCAGCAACTAGGAGAACAGGTGACCTCCTGCGAGCTCTCTCGTGTTCTGCAGGGGTGCTAGGCACAACCACAGCCATGGCGCAGGTGAGCTGAAAGAAAACCCTGAACCAGCCCCAACCCTCACCAGGAAAGCGCAAAGTGGCGTCAAAGTCCAGAAGGCAAAGAAGGCTCGAGGCAGCCTCAAAGAAGTGGAGAAAGAGCTCTACCACTAAGACAAAGGAGTGGGAGCTAGCACGGCGACCTGAGGGCCCAGCTGAAAGGCAGAAGTCCAAAGGGCCGAGGGAGGGCACAGTAAGAAGGCAAAGGGGGAGGCGCGGCCCCTCACCAGGAAAGTCCAAAGTGGAGTCAAAGTCCAGACGGCTATGATCAGCTCCAGGAAGCCTCCCCAAGAAAGGCCCAGAAAGCAGGGACACAAGGAAGTGCTTGTCGTAGGGAGAGTCAAAAGCCACGAGGAGAAAAAGCCGCCCAAGAAGCAAGCGGGCGGCGAAGGCGCAGGGCGGAGACAAAGTGCCACACAGTCGTCGGAAGGAGCTCGTAGAGGCGGCGAGCGGACGGGGCCCGAAGTTCAGCAATCTCGTGAGGTCATCCGCGACATTGAGGCGGGTAGGTGCAAAGCCGTAAGCAACGAACAAGCCGAAACCAAGCTGGAGGGCCGTCGACCTCATCAAAGCAAAGCTCAAGGATCGCGAAGACGACCTCCCCTTCGCGGCGGCACTTGCAACCTGGCTGTCGACTAAAACTGTAATCCTGCAATCAGCATGCGACGCAGCAAGCTGGCGATGCAAAGCAACGACCGTAGCAAGCTCAAGCACATTGATATGAGAGTCACCCTTCCAGGGAAGCACCGTGTCGACAGCCCAGTCGCCAGCAGAGAGCACGTCATTCACGGCGACAGACTCGATGCCAGGCTTGTCAAGAAGAGCCGCCCGTGCCAAGAACGTGCGAGAAAAGCACCTGAGGAGCCCAAGGCCAAGGAGCGAGCGCTCACTAGCCCCAAGAGAAGAAGGGGCATCATACTCAGCAGGGCCCTCAAAGGAGTCCAGGGCAGCACCGTCAAAGAAGCAGTGGATACACATCAGGCCGCCAGGCTCTTGAGCACCCAGCTTCTTGAAAGCAAGCCACCGCCGTTCGCAGGAAAGCGAGCCAACAAACCTTTCCAGGACGGGCCCAAGAACGCAGCAAGCAGGGCCTGGAAGGAGAAGCAGGCAGGGGACCCCAAGCGCAGAGGCCAGGCGGAGGAAACCCAAGCATCGCTTCCAGTAGGCCAGAGCGGGCCCAACACCACAGACAGCACAAGGAGGACACATAAGAAGTCCACGCACCCAGCCCCCATGAAGCATGTCGCTAAGCCAACCAGCAAAGGAGGGAGCAAGGACATCGTAGTGCCTCGAGGCAGCAGGGGAAATCAAGGGGCCGAGGTCAACACCTTCTTTGATACCTGGGCCACCTAGAAATCCATTGCAGCACCCAATCTCGAGAACGTCAATTTGGAAGGGCACCTGCTTTGGAGGCCCGGGGGGCGAAAGTCGTCAGCAAGGTCCTCCTCCTCCGGGGCCAAGCCGGCAGCCTTCAGCAGCAACCTAGGGCCCGCCTCAAGCCTAGGATAGGCTCCTCTCCGGTCACCGTTTTGCCACAAGGACCTCGCAACAGGCGTGGGAACCGAGCAAGAGCAGGCAGCCCCACGAGCCAAGGAAGCATCAGTTGCGAAGATGCGGTCGGAGACTTCAGCAGTCAGGTCGGCACACGCGGCAACAGAAAACACAGAGGCCAGCACAAGCTCCTGCGCAAGCCGGCGCGACATGGGGATGGGCCGCTTGCTTTGCCTTGGCTCCTCAGCAGCCCGGTTCGCAACAGAGAAGGCCTCAGACAGGACCACCATACAGCATCTCCGGAAAAGGAAAGCCGAAGTCCAGGCCCCCGTCAGGCGCGAGACCAAGCCAGACGAAGTGACAGGCAGACGGGCAGCCCGGAGGCTAAGGGAAGCAAGGCCCAGCCTCCGACCAAGGGGCGCAGCAGCGGTCACAAGCCCACGCCTGACACTATGCTTTCTAGAGTCTATCTCACAGCCAATGGCTGTGAACAAGCTCTCTCCATTGACATCCTTCTCAGGCGAGCCCAGCACGCTGAACCTTTGGTACACCTCTCCAGCAGCTTTGTGCAAGTGACGGACGGGAGAAGGTCCTTGAGGGTCACAGGCGGCCGGCAGCACACTGATCCCAACCAAATCGTCGATGACCAGGGCCTGCACAGTATCTCCCAGGGGGAAGGCCCGATGGTTCTGAAGGCTGGTGTGGTCAAGGAGGGCACCACCATACTTCAACAGCGAGGCATGGGCAGCAAGGACAAACTCAACTCCCATGTGATCGCCCTGGTAAAGCGACCTGAAGCAAGGTGTCAACGAGCTCGTGGGGGCACCCTGTTCCCACAGGACAGGCGAGCGGGACATGACCTCAGGGCCAAGCTCAGCAGCACTATATCCAAAAGCCAGGGAGTTCGTACTGGCCCGCTCCTCTGTCACCCTAAATTGGTGATAGAAGTCCTTTCTATCACTGCAGTAGCCGGTGACCTGCGCACGAAAACGGGGCACGACGAGCCCAGCAAGAAGGAAGCCAGGGGGAAGGTCAGCCGATGGGCCTTGCATGTGTCGTTCGCCTATGTTGGCCAGCCTCCGATCCCCAATTTGGCGGTCCCGGATGGCATCTTTGAAAGCGTTAAACACACGTGATCGGTATCGCTGCTGGGGCTCCCCCTGGACAAGACCAAGCAGTCCCTGGGCCGACCATAAGCGAGCCAACGAGAGGTTCTCAGACCAAGACTCAGCTTCCAAGTTCGGCACCTCACAGCCTCGAAGGGAGCGGCCGTGGAGCATGCAGCGAGGCTCGACAAAAGGGAGCCAGAGAAGTCCTTGCAGCCAGGGTTCGGCATCCCAGGCGCCCCGCCCCGTTAACCTCAGCCTAGACGTGTCAAGCGAGCGGTAAGGCTGCAGCTCGGGCCTAGGTGGAAATGGCACCTTAGAAGGGGCCTCAGGCAGAGCAGCAAGGGGGGCAGAGTGGCTGGCAGATCCCGCAGGCCCGTCAAGGGCACAGCTCGCGAAATGTTCCAATTCAAGGAGTCGTGCAAGGCTCTCAGGGCCAGACCGTCCCGGAGGCAAAGGGAAACGTTCAGGGCGAGAGTCACACGCGACAAGGTGCCTCATGAGCCGGTCATAGGCTCTCCTCTGGCGGGCGTTTGGCACCCTCCACAGCAAGTCCAAAGGGGTAAGCCGAAGGCCTTCGTGCACAAAGTTCAAGGCAAGCACCAAGAAGGTGGGGCAGGTCCCCACCGGCTGGCAGGGGAACGGAAAGAAGCAGCGAGCCAGGCAGCAACGGGAGAGCTTGATTTCAGAATCCACCTTGGCAGTGCAGCGGCCCACTCACGAAAGGACAACGTTGCATCGAATTGGTCAGCGGGACCAGGTTCGGGCAAAGACCGAGGCAGGCCAGTTAAATGTTCAAAGGAGGCGCCAGGGCTATCGCTCAAAAGGGGATTGGCAGCATTCAAAAGGGGCCGGGGGCCAGCTGCATCATCAGGAGGGTGCCGGCGACCTGAGGTCGTTCCACGAAGGGCGGTGTGATCACTGGCAAGGGGAAAAGAGATGGAGCAGGATGCCGTGGCTTGCACACCTGGGGAAGACCCCGAACCAACCTTAGCAAAACCAACTCCACCGCCAGCTGTTTCACAACCACCTGGCCGACGAGCAACGCCAGGGGAGCCGCATACCTCGAGAGAACAGGCCTCTTGACAGAGAGGGAGGCCGCGAGAACTCATTGGCCCGGCTTCTTTCGCGGTGGCCTCTTTGGGCGTGACGGCGAGGGAGTGTCCTCGGAGTCCTCGTCTTTTGCACCTGACCCAGAGCCCAAAGGGGCACCACCCTTCCTCATATCGGCCCGCTTTGTGGCAATCACGTCCAGCTCCTTGGTGTAGCTCAAGACAATCGCCACCCACCTCTGAGAAGCCAAGGGTGCGAAGGCACGGGTGTGCATGGCACTCTTTGACGAGCGTGCTGTAAACATTGCCGCGGGAGGCTCTTCGAGCCAAGTCAGCTGATAGCCAAGCTCGGCCCGACCGGAATCCATACTCATCTGCTCCACGCACACAGCAAGAAGGCAAGATGGTCGGAGGCCTGCAGAGCATCCATAGCATGCGCCAGGGTGTGGGCAATTGCTCCCAAATCTCGCTGCCCTGCAAGCCTCCGAACCGCTCCCAGTAGCGGGACAAACACACCCCTTGCTGAAGCAGCTCGGCAGGCTCCGAGCTCAGACTGGCAGCCGGAGCCATTCTCTTTGCCATGTTCTGGAGCACCGCCGCGAAGAACACCCCCTTGTCGGCCGAGAGCTCCTCCTGCATCTTTGCTCTTTGGCTGGGCTCTCGGGCACTGAAATGGGCAACAGGGCTGCTGGAGTCGGAGAGAATGTCCCCGAAAACCCTGCAAGCTGCGCAACCAGTGTGGTCAAGGCCCGGGATTGCTCCAAGACGGCCTGGGATAAGGTGTCGGAGGGTGCAGGAAAACCAAGCTCGTCATTGGCCTCCTCCACCATGGCTTCGGCAATGCTGGGCTGGCCCATCAGGGGCAGCTGTGGCTGAGCATTTGCCCGGGCTGTGCGAGGGGGGGGGCCTCACAACCCTAGATTTGGGGCACCTGCAGGCTTTGGGCGGATACCTAAACCCAAGGGTTGGCTGAGGGGCGCGGAGGGCCCCGCTCCCATCTGCTTTTCCACCCGGCTTGCCTCTCTGAAAGCTCGTCCATGGACCTGACCAGAGAAGGAAGAGTCGAAGTCAGGTTCTCGAGCTGGCTGGCCAAAGTCGCAGTCGTAACTCTCTTTGGGCCCGGCGGCTTTGGCGGCCCGCTTCCGGAAGGCATACCCGAGGCGGCCGGCGGCGGAACATCGTCCCGGGATAAGCGGAGCACACTGCGCTTCTGCTTTTGCTGGGGCTCCGGTGGCCCTTCCTCTGCAGAGTAGTATTGGAGCCGCTCGGGGGCACCAGCTACGGCCTGCACAGACAAGTCCACCACGATTGCCGAAAGGCTCTGGTCGGGCACAGGGGGTGCAAAAGCCAGGGCCGGGGCCTCGGTGCTGGGCCACAGCCAGCTCGTCGTCCGGGATCACGCCGAGGGGCACGGCCAACAAAAGCCCATCATTCGGCCTTTTTGCCAGCACGACAGCGAGAGACTATGGCCCCATCTCCTGAGGCATGCTCGTAGATCCACACCTGGCCCCGCTCCGAGAAAGGCAGAACGCCTCCACCACTGAAGCAGGGAGTCCCACGGCAGGCCGGCCGCGTCCACGTAGACTCTGGCCTCAAGCTCGGAAGGAAACCCGTGCGACACCGACTGAGAGGATGCAAGGGGGCCGACGGCCGCGTTGAACTCTCGAAAGGTCCGGTAAAGAGCAGGCTGCGCGTCGCCGCCACCACAACGTAAAAGCGAGAGGCAAGCCGCAAATTCTCCGAGGGCAAAGGAGTGGCGTATTGGCCCTGAAGCACACGGCGAGCCCACTGACCGGCTCGCCAAGCACGCAAAACTCGAGAGCGAGGGCTCAGGTTGGCAGACCCCAAAGAAGCTGCACGATCAACCCACGAGGTAGGGCACGGAGGGAAAGATTGCTCAACCTCTCGCTTGCCTCCAGCGGGCAAAGGGGGCACTGGGCCCTGCAAGTGCACCTGAACAGCAGGGGCTGAAATCGACGGAGTCAAAGACCTGGGCTGACCTGACGAGGCGGAGCTCGGCACACGGCTTTGAGGCTCAAACACCGGAGTGGCAGGAACAGCAGGCACCGGGGAAGTTGAAGAGGCACCCGTTGCAGGGGGAGGGCTCGACTCAAAGAGCTGAAGGTGCTGGAGCAATCGGGAGGCCTCAGGCAGAGGGCCCCGAATGGTCACTTCAAGCAACCCAACACAAGCACTCAAAAGCAACAATGCCGGCCTCAGTGCCTTGCATTCACGTACTGCCTTAGTCGAAGAGCGGCAGCCGGCACAGGGGAAGACGCCGAGAATGAAGGAGCCGGGGCGGCTCGAAAGCCAAAGGTGGACGAAAATCCAAATGGCAAGAGCAGCCGCGCAGAAAAATCCACACAGGAAAGAGAGGATCAAGGCGGCCACGGAGGAAGGCCCACAATAGAATGGGCAGCCCAAGCCCCAAAAGTTTGAAGACACCCCCGAATGGACTAACTTAAGAAAGCTACCGAAGTCCATGCCGGGGGGACCCGCTTAACTTTGAGCAGCAGCAGGAACGACAGAGGTTTCTCTAGCAGGTTACGTGACAGGGTTTAGGGGTGGGGGGTTTGGGGGTTTAGGGTTGGAGACTAGGGCTCTTCAATGATGCACAGACTGCTCGAAAGGGGAGAGAGCTTCTTGCTACAGAGTGCAAACTACCCAAGAGGGACGGGTGCATTGAGGAGAACGGCAAAACGCTCCAAAGGGACCAAAGCGGAGAAACGTGCAAACTGCTAAAAAGGAACTTGAGCCTGTGAGAAACATAAGAGAACCCCTCTCGAACGACAGTAGGGCATCCGAGGACAAGTTCAAGGGGCCTGCCGCTCGAAAGGTTCAGGATTTAGGGTTCAGGGTTTAGGGGACTGTAGAGTGTTTGAGAAAACGGGGAGAGCAAGCCGCTCAAAAGCGAATAGAGCATCCGAGATCACATGATTAGAGCGCTCGAAAGGGGTTAGAGCTTTTGAGAAACAAGTACAAACCGCTCGAAAGAGACTATAGCATTTGAGAAAAACGAGCAAACTGCTCGAAACGGATTAGTGTGACTAGAGCAGGATGTAAGACAAACGCAGCAAACCTCGGAAGGACTTGAGCACTTGAGACCGAGCCGCAAGCCACTAGAAAGGGCATAGAGATTCTGAGAAAATGGGGCACCCGCTCGTAAGCGGCAAGTACAGAACAAAGAGGAAGAGTTGGAAAGGGAACGACGCATTTGAAGAAAACTCCGAAAGGACTAGAGTGACTTCCGTGCATTCAGCGCAAGCCGCTCGAAAGGGATGGAGCATTGGAGAAACAGGAGCCAACCGCTCGAAATGGACTTAAATCAATTGAAAAGGTGCTAGAGTATTTGCGAAAAGGAGCAGACCGCTCGAAAGGGACAGTGGCATGCGAGAATTAGCGTTGGAAAACAAGACAGGAGCCACTGCGCCAAAAAGGCTACAAAAATTGCAAGATTTTCTGAACACTTCAGGGCTGCGACGTGCGGTGTGTACAAAGGGCTGGTCACAGTTCTGACACCCTGCCTTGCTGACGGTGGCCTCCTATCTTCAGCCACTTCAGCACCGGACAACCTATACATGCGGAATCTCATCACCCTCCAAGGCATGCCTGACATGGGGAGAAAGACATCACATTGTTGCGATTACGGATATTGTGGCATCCAGGGAGGTGATACCGCTCACCACGTGACGTTGTCACACAGATTTCTTGAGGGCTTCTCCGAGCGCTCAAGTGCTCTACGCGGGCCGTCAGCGCTCTGTTCTGTGTCCTAACTTCGTACAGGGCCCTCTCCATTTCACGGTTCTGGCGGCAGCGCTCACTAAGGAGCGACTGCAAATCTGTACATCGATCTACGTACTCTTGCGCAAAAGCATCACTTTCACGCTTCACTTTCGGCTCAACCTTTGGCCTCGGCACGTCAGTTTGGGTGTCGGCGTCTCGGGTCTTTGCACGGAAAAACCCCTTGCCAAAACTCCACTTAAGCAGTTTCAGCACTGTAAAAGGAATGCCCAAGAACACCACCATTGTGACCAAGCCGATCCCCGCTGCCGCAACCACGCTGTAAGCAAACTCCGGCTCAGCAAGCGCAGCGATTGGCGCAGCCAAGCTCAAGCCCTGGCCTTGTCCTGCCTGTGCCATCAACAAAAGCACTGGCAGCCACCTGTTCACCTGCACTGCACTCACTGATCCAGAGCTCTCTCGGCACTCTTTCAAAGCCTGCGAAACCATCCTCTTGTGGTCCGCGGCCTCCTTGTCTGCTTGCCCGTAGGGCTGGCCATCGGGCTCAACGGCCCCCATTGTAAACAAAAGTTCGCGAACTCTGCCACCTGAGAGTGGCTTCGTCCCCAAGTCTGCAGGATTAAACACCCCGGGGATGCTGCCGGTCAGGATTCGGCCCTCCTTGACGCATTGCTGCACCCAGAGCAAGCCACATGCCAAATGCCGCACACGGCCGCACCCCAGGCGGTTTGCTATGCCTTTGCAAGCTGCACTGTCTGTCCTGCACTTGGTCTCAACCACCATCTGAGGCTCCACAAGAAAAGAAACGCAGTCACTAAGGTAAATAGCTTCTGCTGCACCACTGACGAGCGCCACGAACTCGCTCTCGCCGGAACTCAGTGCAATCGACTTTTGCGAGCGGACAAAGCTGCACATGTAGCTCCCGCCTGCATACAGCTGCACCGAGGTTCTTGAGCGGCGGGTTCGCCGGCAACCTGCCCAATCAGCGTCGGTGATTGCTTCAATCACCACCTTGCTCCCCTCATCTCCAATACCACCGCCTCCAAAGTCAAAGGTGGCACCGTTTCGCATGGGCCGGATTTCGAACCCAATCTCTGGCACTGAGGCAAGGTAGCCCACAGTCCTCTTGAGCCACCTCTGTGCGTTCACAGTGGGGCAGGACATCTTTGAACTCAAGATGCACACCGGGAACTGGATGTCGGGCCTGGTGTGGGAGAGATAAAGCAATCTCCCTGTTGCCTCCCTGTACTCCTTCCGCCTCCTTGGCCCCAAGCTCTTTGCTCCCGTCTGTTTCCAGGAAGCTGTTGTCGGCCGGGGCGTCCCGCACTTTAAGGCTGTCACCGAGGGCCTTCACAAGTGCCTCGAGGTAGCGCCCATTGGAGTACACGACTATCCCCTTCTCTCCCATCACATACTTCCTCTTGAGGAACTGGATCTCGTCGCCTGGCCCAACCATTGGGTCTGAAAACTCCACTTGCACCTTTTCCCGCAACACCTTCTTGAGCTTTTCACGCTCGGCTGCGGTTGAAGCCATGAGCCCATCATCGGCATGCAGGATGACACCCGCCTGGCTCCCACCAGCGTCCTTCTTGAAAAGAGTGGGCTCCTTGACAAAGCCAGTGTAGCCGCCCTTGGCTAGGAGGTCCTTTGCAAAGCCAAACCAGGCGCTTGCCCCAATCCTTTGGCCAGGAAGCAGCTTGTCCAGCACCAAGGTAACAGTGCCCTGCCTGACGGCACCAAACATAGAAGCTGCAACCTCGATTGTCATTGGCACCGGTTGCTCCACTTGAAGGTAAGCGTCCTTGAAGTCGAAGGTGCAGACCTCAAGCTTCCTCGTCAGGGCCACGGCCAAGAACGCGTGAGTTGCTGCCAGCGTGCTTGCCGGTGCGAACAGCTCCTGGGTGTCTGCGCTCATCGTTCTGAACTCGCGGCCCACCAAACGACTGCGCCTCACCCAATTTGGCCTCCGCCTCCAATCTCGAACAACTTTCGTCGTCAACGACTGGTACTCGGTGAGGTCCTCGCCTTCACGGGGCCAACGAATGACCCCCATCTCCAACAAACGACCTGCTTCTTTTCGGTCGGCTTCGGAATCAACCTGAGCAAGCTCTGCCTCCGTGAGCTCGGGAGCGTGTTCCGCCTCATCGTCCCACACCACTTCCTGGTAGTAGCTGCCAGCGTGCTCGCTTTCATCGACCATCGCCTCCTTGAGCTCTTCGCTCCAGCCGCCAAAGTCACTGGACTCATCCAGCCCAACGTCTCCCACCACCATGTTGACACCAGCATATCCTGGAGGGTACAGGCCACTGGCTGGCGATGCGGCTGACCCTGGGCTTCGACCTGGAGGACGGTCCAGCAAAAGCCGCGGCCTCTTGGGCGTGGCCTCTCCACCAGACGGCCTTTCGGCATGGGACCCACCACCTGTGTCCATTGGAGCATGTGAAGACGACCCTGCACCACCTGAGGCCAAGCTACCGTGAACAAAGGACCCAGGAGGTTGTTGTTGATCACGTCGCTCTTGCTGTGGTTGTTGGCTGTTGCTAACATCCACTAGCCTGCCGCCACCTGCCAAAGCATCGGCTCCAGGAGGTTGTTGTTGATCACGTTGCTCTTGCTGCGGTTGGTTGTTGGGTGTTGCTGCCGCCGAGGGTGAGCTTGGAGAAGATGACGTGGGGTTTGGGTCCCCGCTGCAATGCTTTCTGCGGCTGCCCTGCCTGCCGCCTGGGCAAGCTCCTGCAACGTCGCATGGTCAGGCACCAACGGAACCCCAGCACGCATGCTGGTATAAAGCGGCCTCTTCCTTCTCCCCTGGCCTTGGTAGTTCCGGGGAAAGCCTTTGGCATTGACCACTG